AGCAGAGAGAGGTCCACTCACTCCAGGATGAGCAATAATAATAATAATAATAATAAAAGCAATAAAAGGTTTTTCCAGCTTTTAGCTCTAGCTTGAACTTTTACAGCCCTGCCACTAGATGCTGGCCTGTTAAAGGGCTATACTCTAGCAAGAATTGGCTGGCATATGGTTATTAAGAAACAAATGTGTGTACAGAAAAATACTGATCTCTTCTATGTAAAAGATATTGCAAAAGTCTGTTTCTTAAGAAAAATACAAAGATTGGAATGCATTATATTTAGAGGAAAACTGTGACCAATTGTTTCACGACAGTTTTCTCAGATGATGTTAAAAGAAATCCCAAAATATTGTTATGCTTTTATTGACTACTTGGAGTAATAAGTAGGAATTCAATTCAGAAAAAAAGGTGAGTATTTATTGTTCTTCATCCATTTTTACCTCTGAGTATTTATTATAAATACATTTCCTTACACTTTCTTCTGTTTATCTTTTCCTTTATAATAATTACTTTGCAAATATCAGTAGGGAATTGAAGACAAAAACAGCCCCATGCTTTGCTTTCTAAAAAAATCACTGAAAAAATTCTCTGGAAGCAAGAAAAATCTTTGATTGAGGACTTAATTAGTCCTTTCCTTCAGTGAGATTAGCAGTGTGTGTTCTAAGTTCAGAAATAAATAAATGTGGGAGTTCCTTGATAGCAATAACAATATGCTAAACATGAAGTTTCTTTAGAAGGAGGTGAAAAGGGGATTTTTGTGTACAGCATTTGGAACACTTACCATATAATGTATCAACACTTTGCATATCATATATAGGGAAGACAAAGTTCTTTATACTAAAATACACTTGGATTTTACATGTCTATGTAAGGAAAACAGGAAGCAAACCCAGAAATCTTCATGTATTGAGGCAGCTCTCTCTCTTGAAAAAGCATGCTTAGTGACTTAAGTGTAGAACAGTAGTTCACTGTTTTTCCTCTGTCCTTTGATTTCTCTACTGGAAACAGGAGATGAACACTGGGGTGTATTATTATTTGTGGTCTTTAAAATGTTATACAGACAAGGTGCTGGCTGGCATCATGGAGGATCCTCACATACACAATGCTCTAAGTGGTTCTGTTGGGTTTTTTTGGAATGATCTCAGTAGTGGTCTGTGTGGTAAGAGCACTTGGTAAAGATCTGAACTGTGCTGTGGATTCCCTTTTGACCTTTGAGCAGCTATGGTGATATGGGAGTGTGGCTTAATTGGTTTTCCTACAGAACTGAAGTCTGGGTTTTTTTGACATAAAAATGGGTGTGAGGACTTCTTAAAAATAGTTTGTTACTTGTTCTTGCTGAGGCATCCTCATTTTTGGGTAGTGGTCAGCTTCTGCAAATGTGATAGTAGGGCCAGCCTGGTCTTCTATTTGTAAAAAATGTTTACTTGGCTTAACCTTGGCCACTGATGTGAGACTATAGACACAAGAATGCCACTTATTCCAAGTGATAAAACTGTCTAGTGTTTGCTTTCTGAATATTTTACAAAATATGGGTAATTTTTTTAAAATTTAAGGAAAACCTTTGCAAGTTACCATATAATTTAAATATCAGGAATATTATTTTGTTGTCCAAATGCTGTTTGTTGCTCTTCTGCTCTTTTGACAAGCAATTTTAGAGTTGCCTTGCAAAACATGTGAACTTAATTAGTATGGACTGGTATTTGTTTCACTGCTTCTCACTTTCTTTTCCCTCAGGAGTCATCTTGCTTGATATCAGGACTACATATGTATGAGATAAGTGTCTTCCCAAATTAAAATTGACCCAGTTTGTTGGAAGCTTTTATCTGAAAATGATTTTAACTGGAAGGTCTTAAATTTAAAAGCCTTGAATATCAAAGTCAACTTGTGACCAGTTGTCATGATACTCTTGAATGCAGAATCAAACAAAATAAAAGTTAAATAAAGCACAATAGCTATGGCCTTTACAGAAAATGCAGTAACATTTCATAGCAGTAACCTGTACTTTTTTTTCCAAATATCTTTAAGTAGTGTAGAAACAGTTAAAGAAATGCCTGTCCTTTGGGGAGAATAGCAGGTTCCTGCCTGGCAGGTGTGGGAAGAATCACAAAAGGGACAATTGACTTGTCTGATTCTATGTCAGGTCTTCAGCAGATAAATAAGGGTTATATGCGTTTTTTTTGAACTTCATGTGTTTCTCTTTTTTATAGGTTGCCATGTGCTTGTTCTTGTTTTTGAGGGCCTAATATAATGATCCCTATTTTAATTAACTTTTCATCTCTCAGTGTTCTTATGAAGAAGTGGGCAGTGTACCATGTAATTGTTGCTGCTGTGTATATCAATTTTAAAATTAAATAGTTAAATTAAAAATTAAAAATTAAATTTAAATAGTACTTTTATATACTTTAATACGTTATTCATTAAATTTCATCTGTATTTAAGAAAAAAAATTAAATGAGTAGTCTGGAGTGACTTGTTTTAACAAAATCATAATTATGAAAAGCATAAATTAATAAAGATTTCTCCTCTAGTTGATATGTTTTCATTTTGAATACAGCATTAAATTGCAGTTTTTACTTGTGTCATCAAAACAAATACAGCATGCAAACCATTTTTTTAAGTGGTCATTTCAGAATAGATCTCCAGATAAACTTCCTTCTCAAAAGCATCACATGCTTAAATATATATATAATTTCCTGGGTTTAATAAACATACAAAAAAAAAGAAGTGAGTGCTAGTTATATAGAAGCATTTCTCTAAGAAGTAATGTTCTGTACTTCATCAAAGAGCACTTAAAATTTAGTATGTCCCTGCTGCTTTGCTTAGAATTTCTGGCTGAACACTGAGGTGTTTTCATATCATAATGAAAAATTCTCAGGTAAAATAAGAAAATGTCTTTGTAGTGAGCTTTTCAGATTTAAATATTATAGTTATGGCTATAAACAGTAAAAATAGAAAGAATAAATCTGACTCAGATCTACAAATAGTTGAGTAATTTGCTTGATGTAGGAGATGGTTACTTGGGGGCATTGGCTGTTCACAGTGTGGGAGAGAAGGAATGAGGAGGAGTGATTCACACACAAATTATCTGGTGCTTTCAGTCATTTGATGTGTTTCTTGCAGTGCATTTACTGTATTCTTTAGTCACTTCAGAGTTTGAAGGTGTGTGTGTAGGATTAGCAGGAGTTTTAGTACTGGATCCAGGACTTTGTGCTAACTGGATGTATAGCACATAGAACTGTAAGGTATGTGTTATTTGTACTGGTAATAGGATGGTCTGAAGGGTAAAGGTGGCCAACAAACTGTGATACACATTTAAAACATCCTCTCATGCCTGAAATCTGGCCAGAAATCTGGATTTGTACTTCTTGGCATTCTACAGACATATGCCCAATATATAACTATGTGTTTTGTTGACGTTTTTTGTTTTTCATCTGGGAATGGATTCTCAAAACTTTCAACAATGAATAGATAATACAGTAATTTAAATTGTGGATTATATTAATGTGGGAGCAGTTGAAGGCACTTTAGGACTAGCATTTACTGCTGGCAAGCTGGAAGAATGACCTGAAATAAATCTCTTAACATGTGGAAAGTGCTGCTGCAGATGCAATTAATTATTCAAATAAATATAAGATGAAGTTGTTGGCTTGAAGGATATGAGCTGGTGGTCTCTGCAGATCATAAGTGGAAGATGATTTTTACTAATATGTAAGGGAAGTCACAAAAGTTCAACTGATTTTTAATACTTTTAAAAAAAGTACCCCTTATGAAAACCAGGAAGTCTTTAATCTTCTCTGCTCAGTGTGGTAGCGGCCTCCAAGTGGAGCCATGGATCCTCTTCTGGCACAGTGAGTCAAGGTGGGGCTAACCAGTTGGAGAGTGTCCAGAGGAGATAAAAATGATTAGCTATCAAAGAAGCATGAGAAGAGAAATTGGTGAGAATTGATATTTCTTCTTGAGAGCATGTCTCTCTCTCTAGAGGAATCAAAGAATATTCTGAGTTGGAAGGGACCCAGGAGGATCATGGAGTCCAACTTGTACATGAATGGCCCATAGGGGGATAAACCCAGGACCTTGGTGTTATTGGCACTGTGCTCTTACTTGCAACGTTTTGTGGAGAACAGAATAACCTTTCTATGAGGATAAATCAAATTAATTAATCTAGAGAGGGAGACTTAAGAACTGGGGAAAAATACTATTTGTGAGAATAGTTGAGCTCTGTGGTAATTTGCATATGAAGGCAAGGGCATCCCTAGTGTTAGAAGTTGTAAGAGCAGGTTGGTCCAGTGTCAGGGGTTGGTTGATTCCTCCATCAGATAAATTGATTTATATTCTCAAGGTCCTTTCCAGCACTTTAATTAGCTTGCAAATAGCTGTAATAGAAGTGACTTGTGTAGGTGTTAGTATTGATTAGTAAGAGTTGTTGGATTTTTTTTTTTGAGACAAGTGAAGATTTTTCTTTTACTTCAAAGCACCATTTAATGTATTTGTTGAGTAGGTCCTGAGCAGAAAAGACTTACATGACCTTGATGAGTGAGCTACCTCTTCTAAATTTAAATACAAAAATTACACTTCCTAACACATTTTTTATTTTAAATGTATTTGTTTTTATAGATACTTTTGTCTTGCACAGTGACTGGGTTAATATTACCTTGAGTGCCTTTCGTGTCTGTACCTTGGTTTCTATGATCATTCTGGAAAACTGAAGACATAGTAATGTAAAACTGGTATGGAAAGACACGATATGTTTTTATGGTAGATTGTCAAAATGCCTTTAAAATCAAAATTGCTTTAAACATTGCTGCTTCTGGATTTATAATTATTAAGGAGGAGTAATTTTTATTTATATATTTATTAGAGTCTGTTTTAGGGGACCATACCTTCACTTCCTTTGTTTTTTCCCCTGACCTAAAGGGGCTGAACCTGGACTATGCTTTAGCTATTAATATTATATATTACATTAGTTTTTAATGCTTTGTTTGAATTTTTTTTGCCTCCCAAGGTCTTTGTCTTGAGAAGTTGCCAATATCTTCCTCAGCAAGCAATCTCCATGTGGACCGAGAACAAGAAATTGTCACATGCTATGAGAAGGCAGGGGATATTGCTCTCCTATACCTTCAGGAGATAGAAAGGGTAAGTTGGGGTGGTCTTCTAAGTTGAACATTTAAAGATTGATATAAGTGCCTTTTTGAAAGAAATTTGTGTGACCCTTTATTTCTAGGAGACATACACTGTTGCTTTTTATTTAGACTTTGAGGTACATTTGGGCAAAATGCAGTACACTTGGGGCTGTGTTCTTAGGCTTGTGAATGCTGTTAGAGTGCAGTGAGCTGGCAATAGCTCTCTGATCCTCTGTCAGACCCATTGCTTGCAAGCCTCAGGCCTGTCACTTCACAGCTGTCTTTGTAGCAGTTGGAAGACACATTTAGGGTCATGAAAAACATAAAAAAGGGGAAAGAAAACTTATGCGATGGGGAAAAAGTAATTCATACTGTTTTTAAAATACATACAGCTTTTTATTTTCTGAGGGGTTTTGCTGTTTTATTATATTCTTGTAGTGGCTGGTAGACTATGTGCACCACCAAAAGCTGATTACATTTTGACACCATTTTTAATGCTGATGTAATACAATTATTTCTAAATGTTTACAATTATTTCTAAATTGCTTTTTGGCAATCACTCTGGAGATAGCTTTTAATCTTCTTACTGCTCTCTGCAGCAGTCTTTTCTAACCTAACAGGAGTTCTAAATTTTTGAATACCATCACCTCCTGCTACTGAATAAGATTGCAAATGTGCTTTTTCATGTTCTTCTAATTTGTATACCATTCTTCACAAGAATTTCTGAAAAAGTAGTACAAAATTTTGCTTAGCAGCATTTCTACTTGGTAAATTAATTCTCTCTAAGGGTACAGGCAAGAACAAAAGGGTTTATATTTAGGTGGCAATGGAGGTAAAGCTAGAAATGGTCTATTGGCCAGCACCTACAAATGGCTAAGATTTCTCCAACATTAAATGTTAGCTTCCATTGAAAAGTACACAAACCTTGATTTTAAGGTTTTTTTTTTTTTCTAAATACACTTCCCCGCCCCCCATTTCTTGTGTTCTCTTAGGTAATTAATGCCAACATACAAAACAGAAGCCCTAAGCCAGGGCCCACTGCACACGAGCAAGAGCTTGGTTTTTTCCTGGAAACAGGACTTCAGAGAGCACATGTTCTATATTTCAAGAATGGGTGAGATTTGACTCTTCTTTTATTGTGTTTACTTTTTTGTTTAGGTTTTGCATTTGTGATTTAACTGGGCATAATTTTTAGCAATTGTGGACTGTGTAATTGTTAGGTCTCATTAATAAAGTAGTAACATTTTGATTAAAATAGTGAGGCTGCCCATATTGTATTTATTTACATACAGGAAAATTGTTTAGTCAAAGTATATTAAGCAGAAAGCATTTTATAGTTTTGTTTACTAAATGTAAGAACTTAAATTGCCTTAAGCTTTATCTATTTGAAATTTGCTACTGAACACTGTTAAAGAGTGATTGTCAACATATTGAAACTGTTGGTATTTATAATTTTGATTTTGTAATTTTTTTCCAAATCTCTTCAGTTATCACTTATTTTAACATTATGCTGCAGGATAAATGTGCATGAAGATCAACAGTATGTATACAAGTATACAATCTTTATTGTACCTGCTCTGTAGATCCCTTTAGATTCTGCATGGGACTTCCTTTATAATTTATTTTAAATAAGGCTTTGCTTAAAAGCCTAAAAATAAATTTAGTTGCCACACAGAATGAGAAAAGAATACAACACTTCATTTTTAAGAACTTCAAAACTCGGCACACATGGGTTTTAAGTACATTTCTGAGATTTGTTGAAAGCACGTAGTTTAAAAACTTGTGTCTGGGGCTTCTTATTTCATTAGAAAAATGTGATTTTATTGAAATACTGGGACTCTTGATGGGACTATTGTTTTGTACCAAAATTGCTTCTTATTCTTTCAAATACATAAACCAGAGATGAAGGAAATAATCAGTGTCTGTAAAGAGTTCGAGATTTTAATGTACTGAAGGTAGGGTAAAAAAACTAGCTGAGTTTTAAGCTGTCCAGGAATTTCAACGTGGAAACAATCACTACACTTCTGAAATCTCTTTCTTAAAGTATTGAAGTGGTGCATTAACATGATCTGAGACTTGCACTTTAGTTCTGTTTTCATAATTTAATTGCAGGAGGAATGGAATGTTCTGAAAGCTAATTTTTTTTCATTTATCGGAACTAAAAATAAGATCTCTGTTTTCATGTCTGCACAAAAAAATAAATAAAATACAGTTACTGCCAAAATCCCAGTGGCAGTCATGGTTAAGAATAAGCTAAGAATTCTGCATTTTGAAGGATTTTGATTGGAGGCCAGGGATGGAAATAGTGCATTTAATCTGACATGTTTTGTGTAAAAGCAACCAGCAGTAGACATAGCAAATTGCAATTAATGAAGAAAACAAAAAGCAACTGCACAAAAAGAGTCATGCAGTGGATTGTTAAGGAATATTCAGACAGGAGTGTTTTTCCTAGATTTTATCAGCTGGTCTGGTGTGAGCTTTGAAAGATTTTATTTCATGTGTATTTTAATTCTTCACAGTGAAGTTGTTTGTGAGCTTCTTAACTCCTACACAAGCTTTTTTTTTTTTTTTGCAGTCTTTAGTACAGTGGTCACTTGCAGTTTATAAGCTAATTCCGCATTATATATAGAATTTTGAATTTCTTCTTCTAATTTTGTTGGCCAGTGGTACTGTTTTTGTGGTATGATATGAAGCAGGGTGTTAGGAAAAATAGCTCTGTGACAATCATTATTTGACATATTCCTGCTGTTACATCCTTTAGTTTCCTTCCTTAATTCAAAGTCAATCACAGTTCTTTCAATATTTCCTAATATGGTCATTGTTCCAGGCTGCTTGTCATGTGGCTGCTTTTAGGGCTTGCTTTTTTATTTTTTTCATTTTATTTTTTTTTTAATCTTGGGTTTACCAGAACTGAAGAGAACTTCAAATGTATACTTTTTCTAATAGGGATAAATTATAGCTTGCTTTTTAATAAATCTATTTTAAGGATGTCTTGTTTCATTTTTAAATACATCATCCCTCCTGATGTTAGGTTACAGAGAGTAGATTTGAGATCTTTACAGGAAGATTTGCAACATACTTCAAGTTTGAATGTTATCTAAAATCATCTTTATACATGTGTGTCAGTTTCAAAGCAGAAAAGAAAATAAGATAACTTTTATATATGCTGGAAGACCATAATTTCAACAGTAACATAGGGAGTATTGCTGCCTACCTATAAAGTTGGTTGATCTACTTCAAATTTCCCTTTCATTTGTTAACAGTACAAAGATTTTCTTTTAAGTCTATTAATTGAGTTTTTGTAGAGAATTCAGTCATTATCTTTCAGGTATGCATTATCTTGTATAAAAAAACTAGAAAGTGCTTGAAACTTAACTTAGCCTTTCTGCTAAGTGGTGGTATTTTGAAAATACATGGAAATGCAATTACCTAAAGAAAAAAAAGAGGAAACTGAAGTGGAAACAGTCTGAACCAGAAAAGTGTTAGTTTAGTGCTAATAAGACACAAAACTGAAATTAATGGTTTCTTCTGAAGCGTACAGAATTTTATTAAAAAACCAAACTACATACCCCTTTTTCACTTGGGAGATGAAGAACATTTCAGCTTGGAAATCTGTAACAAAGAAGTTGAGGAAGTTGTTCAAAAACTTGGAGTAGGGTTTATGTGTTTTTTAAAAAATGTTCTGAAATGTAACTTTCCATTCTTTCAGGCTGATTACATAACTTGTGTAGTAGTTGCTTTGTAATTTCATATTGAAGGATTTCAAAGCCTTGATGTTTTTCCAAGAAAAGCTGTGAGCAGAGGAACTTTGACATTGGTATTTAACATAGCTATTTTCAAGTACAGTGCCCCTGAGAAAGGACAGCTCTTTAGGTACCCAGTGTTTCTTCTATCCTAGTATTTGTGTTGTTGTGAGATTTACAAATTGATTTTGTCTGGTTTATGGTTTTTATTTTTGAGGTAGTAATGTTCACAAATATACTGGAAATGTATGTTCTTGAAGCAAAGTGGCATTTTGGTTGAAGTCTAAAATCAGGAGGCCATCATGTGAAATCGACTTACCTCGATTTCAGAGCTATTTTTTTTTGCTTCTGCTTTGTTTTACACCCCCCCCTCCATGGATATTGCTCTGGATCCAGACTGCAGTTTGGTCTAGTCTCCATCATGGTTCACATTCTCAGTCAAAACCTGCCCATCCCAGGGATGATCTGTACTCCTCATGCAGCCATTACCTCTGCTGGCACTGTCACAGTGAAGTAAGACATTCCTAGTCTCCTCCAGCAAGTTTCTTATAGACTGGCTTCTTCTTCTTCTAATAGAAAATTAGCCCTGAAAAAAATGAATAAAAAAATAAACAAATTTTTCTCATTTTTCATATAATTGAGATAATTGATTTATATTGACTCTAAATGTTTGACAAGCACAACAAAAGCCCTCCTTAGAGTCTAGGACTTAACTATGTAGAATTTATCTGTTTTTTTCTTTTCACTATAGCATATAACATAAATAGCATAAGAACATTACTCTCTTTCTGGTAAGAGAGGAGCAGTGGATGGGAGGCAGTCTATAGGTGCTTCTGTTCCACATGTATATCCATACAGTGCTCACTGATAGGGGTTTTATGGGGGTGAAGTCCATGAGAGAAAGGTTTATGTAAATGCTTGACATAAATGCACATGAAGATCCTGAAAGATCAGCTCTCTGCTGTATTAGAATATAGTGCAAGATACCCATCACTCTGCATCTCTTGAAATCCTTTTGCACATCCTACATCAGTCTCAAAACAAGTTGGTGTTTAAGTAAAGAATAGAAAGTAAGATGAAAACATTGAAATCCCACAAAGTATCACATTTCTTATATGTAAAATATCACTGCTGTGTGTTGGAAAGCAAACAAAATCACTTCTGTTGCAGTTTTCAACACAGCTTTGTTTTCTATATGCCTGCTTTTGTGTTTGTGTGCTTAGGAAGATAAGGCAGGGATATGTTCAAGATAGGAACAAAAATAATTTCTCTGTGATTCTGAGCAAAAATAAGTTTTCAAAGGATACTTTGTCTGTCATATCAGATGCTTTCCTCGTCCTTGCTTCCAATACTGTTCTCACCTTTTTCATTGAAAAAACTATTTGAACATGAGAGGAAATTATTATTCCCTCAGACATTCAAGATAAAATCATCCATTATGAATGCTTTCTCTTTCAAACCTTACTGTATGTTTATTACTCAGAACTGTGTCTTAACTTCAAGAGTTGAAAACAAGATTCCATTGTGAAGTTACAGGTGGGAAACCTGGCAGTGTTACATGGAAGACTAAGGTGGATATAAACATGAGGGAATTACTTTTATTCAAAATCTTACCAAGTTTTGTAATAACTAGTTATACAAAGAACAGTGAAAGTAATGTTAGTATCTGAGTTATGTTCAAGACTGATACTCTTAATAGTTTGTAGTTGGGATTCTGACTCCAGCTCACTTTTTCCAAGAAGATACTTAGCATTTTTTAGCCCATGTGCCGCATGTCTTGCTGGCAGTGGCTATTGATTGCACTTGCAAGCATCAGATTAAAGGTTTTGCTTTTATGTTGAATTGTGATGGGTGGCAGACAAAATGGTCTTGGATCCTCAGATAGGGAGTTAATATTTCATACACTTCCCCTGCTCCCCTCAAAACGCTCATTTTACTGCCCTAGTTAATGTTCTTGTATTTCCACTGTGCAGAGAAGTTGCTATTGTCATTTTCCACAGACCCACCCTCCTCCTACCCTCCTAGTATGCGTTTTCCTTGTTTGCCTTTTGCTGTTTCAGATGCTTGTTTGATTCTTCTGTGGAGTTTTGTTGTCAAAGAAATGGCAGCTTTCTGTCATTCTGGTGGGAAGAATTGATTCACTGGAAGGTTGATAATGGCTGGTGTGGCTGTCAGAATAGAGATGGGACCATGCAATTGAGAGTATGAAAATACCAAGAAGGAAGAATGGTGGGAAAAGGAAACAAACACTAAGAGATGAGAATGAGGAGGATAAGATCTTCCTCTTCAGGTCGTGAGCCATTAGATGGACTAACTACCAGTGGAACTGCAGTCTAGGCAGCAAGTGTTTTCATTTTGAATGCATGAATGCCAGAATTGCTGCTTCATTGTGCTCTTTCAAATACTTAGGCTTGTGTAGCTCTAATGGCACATCGAAGATGTTTTATTTATAAGCTCAAACATGTGTTAAGAACTTTCAAGCATCAAACAAACATGATCTTTTGTAGCAAATTTGAGATATCTGGGATTTTTCTTTCTGCATGAGGTAACAATGGATAAAATAAGAAGCATGCCATGATAATTCTTTAAAGTAGACTTCTAATTTTTTTTTTTAAAGAGTAGTTTAGATTCTGGCAGCAAATTTGGGATTTTCTACATTTTATTCAGAAAATAATGACCAGTGTTAATTAATGTTTTGTGAAAATTATATAATATTGTGGGTGTACTGAAAGTGTAAGTATGAAAGGGAGAGTGGGAAAACAGAACTGTCTGAAGTTGCAACTATGCTGCCTCTCAT